GCTATCCGTGAAGCCCGAGAAAGGGCGTTTGCTGATGCTAAGGAAAGAGCAGGAAAAGCCGCAATGGAGAAAGCAAAGGCAGGAGCCCACCGTAGAGGGACTTCTGAGGTTCCAAGGAGATCAGAGAAGGGATCTGCTGAGGTAAATGATAAGTTATCCTCAGCTGAGAAGGCTTCAATGCAAGCTAAACTAAGAACCGAGCGTGCTGCCGTAGAAAGAGCACTCTCTGAGGCCAGAGAACGTGCCCTCGAAAAAGCATTGTCTGGTAAGTCTGCTGCTCCTGCTCCTCAAACAAGAAGTTATGGTGGCAGCAAGTCATTTGGCACTTCTGGGGAAAGACGAGGCTCCTCAACTTCTGTGAGTTTCGACCCCTCTTTTCTAACGAATATTCTTGATTCAACTCATCTGTCATAGCTCTCATGTAATATTGTGATCCATGAAATCCTTTAGCAGGGTACGGAGAACAAAAATTCGGGTCCTTCCAGTTCTTCTAACCAGACTGGTATGTCTCTGTGGATGTATATATTGTTGTTTCCAAGATGTTTGATCACACTGACCTGTACATTTGATTTGGTTAATGAAGCCAAAGGTGAGCCAATCCAGAGATGTAAAGCTAGATCTGAGAGACACCAGAGAACATCTGACCGCGCGGTATGTACACCATCTGTTCATTTGTATAGTAGAATCCCATTTTCTCTGCTTAAAACATGTTTTCTGTGATGTCATCATTCCAGGCAGAGGCTCTTGCAGAGAAGAAACTTCGTGATCTCAAAGCCCAGAAAGAGCACACAGAGAGAAATGTAATCACATAGACAGTACTCATTATCATCATATAACTTTGAAATTTGGTTGAACTAATCCTTCTTCTCTAATTGAAATTGCAGAGGCTCGCGGAATCTCTTGACGCTGATGTCAAACGGTGGTCGAGTGGAAAGGAAAAAAACTTGCGGGCGTTGCTCTCAACACTCCAATATGTAAATTGTCTCCCATTAGTTCCATAGCTAAACTCTTTAATGGATCAGAGGATCAGTCTTTTACGACTGTTGTGTTGTGATTTTGATGTTTTGCAGATACTTGGAGCAGAGAGTGGATGGAAACCGATTCCTCTCACTGATCTTGTGTCAAGTGCTGCTGTGAGAAAAGCTTACCGAAAGGCAACTCTTTACGTTCATCCCGACAAGCTTCAACAACGTGGCGCATCCACACAACAGAAGTACATTTGCGAGAAAGTTTTCGACCTTCTCAAGGTTTGTCTCTCTCTAACTCTTCCATATAAATCAATCCATCGAGTTATAAATCGGTAACCAACAAGATTTTTACTGTTCTCCAGGAAGCATGGAACAAATTTGGTGCAGACGAACGATGATTAAGATTGTGTGAATGACTACTACCTTGACAGATTTAGAGATGTTATAACCAA